TTTAACATCAAAGATATGTGAGATTTCTTCTAAGTTCTTAAATTGGAAGGCTTAATAACATAAAAATTGCAATTCTCCCCAAATTGGTCTATTGATTTAATGCAATCCCAATTAAAATCTTAGCAGACTTTTATGGAAATTGACAAGCTGATTCTAAAATATATGTAGAACTGCAAAGAACCTGTAATAGTTAAGTCATCCTTGAAGAAGAAAAGTGAGGCGGAAGGACTTATTCTGGTAGATATCAAAAGTAAAGATGACACTGCTGAACAGTAGGGAATGAATTTAATTTTCAATGAAAATATGTTCAGTAAATTGTTTATCCATAAGAGAAATAATAATTAAACTTAACCCCTACCTCACAGCTCAGTTCCATGTCGATTGTAGATCTAAATGTAAGAGGCAAAATATAATGCCACTGGGAGGTAATAAAGAAAAAAATCTTCATGACCTGGAAAAGACAGCATTTCTTACATAAAACGCAAAAACCTTAAAGACTTTAAAGGAAAAGATTGATAAATTAAACATTATTAAAATAATAAAAATATCTGTTTATCAAGCAATAGCATTAAGAGAGCAAAATGGCAAGTCACAAATTGAGAGAAGATACGTTGAACTTGTGTAACAACAAAGGCACTGTATTCAGGACACATAAGAAACTCCTACAAACTCCAATAGGAAAAAGATAGAAAACTGAACAAACAACAACAACAACAACAAAAACCAAAAGATTCTATCAAGACTCAAGAAAGGATATTCAAAAGTTCGAGAGTCCAATAAACACATGAAGAAGTGCTCAACTATATTAGTCATCAGGGAAATGCAAATTAAACCACAGAAAAAAAACATCATACACCCACCAGCAGAGCTACAATTGAAAAGACTTAACAGTCTAATGCTAACACTCCAAATGTTGTCAAGGATGTGGAACAACTAAAAATCTCAAACACTGATAGTGTGTAGGTAAATTTGGAAAAATTTTTGGCATGTCCTACTAAGTTTGAACATAGGCATACTATATTGGTTATCTATTGCTTCATAACAAAGTACCCTAAGACTTAATGATTTAAAACAATTCTCTGTGTGTCAGGAATTTGACAGCAGCTTGGCTGTATGGTTTTTAATTTAGTGTCTCTCAGGTATTTGAAGTTAAGATGGCAGTTCTTCTGAAGACTGGACTGCAGCTGAAAAATTTCTTTTTAATATGGCTCACTCCCATGATTATAGCCAAGAAGTAGGTCTCTCAGTCCCTACTGACCCAGATTTCCCTATACAGGAGTGCAGCTCCTACCAACCTCATTCAGCCAATTCCACTTAATAAAGGTGTCCAGCTATCCTTTGGAGTTTTATTTAGATGGTCCACTACTCTCTAGTGCAATGTGTCTGACGTACTTGAAAACCTTTTATTCTTTCTATATATCTATGTTCATTAAAGGCATCACCATCCATCTAGGGTTAATAGTCAGAAACCTATATCCTTCTCTCAACCCCAAACTAATTGATCATCAATTATGTAAATTCCACATTCTACATATCTGTCAAAATATTCTCTTTTCTCCATTTCCAACACCAGTTTTGGCTTGGGACCTCAGTTCTCCCACCTTAACTATAGTTAACAGTTTCCTAACTACTCTCCCTATCTTTCATCTAAATTTCCACCTACCATTTTTCTCACTGCTGCCAAGTTTATCTTTTGAAAACGCAATTCTCATTATGCCTCTCCCAGTTTAAAATGCTTCATTGACTCTCTGTTGTCTTCTATATGAAGTCTTAGTTCTCCAGCTGATCATACAAGGCTCTTTATTTACTGTGGCTAGCTTTCTAACACACCACCCAAGCAAAACTAAAGTGCTTATAGTTCAGCTATGCTGTTTACTGGTGCTGTGATTTTTGTATAGGCTGGTCTCTCTTCTTGGATTGGTCTGGCAAAGTCATATTCATTTTCAAACCCAAAGCAGATGTCACTACCTCCAGGAATTATTGATAAAGAGTGCAATAAAAATTTATTGAGTATATCTATATTTCAGATACTATTTTAGATGCTGGGAATACAAAATGCATAAGACATAGTCTGAATCTTCTAGTGTCAATCAGCTGCTTACATTTCTTACCTCCCTTTAGCTCTAAGTGCCTGGTGCATAATTTTTACTTACTTGATTCTTCATTCTTTTCTCTATGTATCTACAAAATCTTCTCTATCTTAATACTGTACACATGTAAATGTACAAATATTACACTATTCTCAAATAGAGATGCACATATAAAGTATTCAGAAAACACACAGTATTCAGAAACATTCATAGACACAGTTTCAACTAGGAAACATGATTATTAATGATGAGATAACAGCTTAGTGCTTTGTGGTCAGGCCCTAGCTCAGTTAACACAGAGAAGCATTGTACAGCTAGGGTGGTGAAGGGTATGTGTTCTGAAAATAGATTGCCTGAATTTGTATCTCAGCTCCGCTACTTATAAGCTGGGTAACCTGGGTAAGTTAACGAACCTTTGCCCCTCATCTGTAAAATGGGGACAATGATAGTTCCTGCATCACAGTGCTGTTCAATATGAATTATTGAATTTCTGTTAACTTCAATAATGGAAGTGCTTGGAGGTTAGACTGATGGGTAGTGAGTTATCTCAATTGGTTGTTCCCAGTCAGCTACAGCTCAAATTCCTTGTTCTCTTCCCCCTTCTCACTAGCACACTTAGCTAGTCTTTTTAAAGAGTGCTCAGAATGGTGCCTAGCACAATGTGTTTAATACATGGTAGCTATTATTATTACTTTGTGTAGGAGGAAGTCACGATCAGCAGGCCAAGTGATTTTGACTTTATATACAGCAATGAAAGACTGTTTCTTGTTCTGAGCCAGGTATATGCTCTTATCTAATCTTTATTGGACCAATGGCACATGTGGGAAGAATGATTGGCCCAAGAGCACCCAGAGTTGTGGGATTCAGTTTTCCCTTATGTAGAGCTAAATAACATATGTGGAAAGAAATTGTATTAGCACACACTGACAGAGCCAGCTAGCTGTAAATACAGATGGATGGACTACATTAATAGCTAGGTGAAGGTCTATAGTACAACAGCTAAGAGCACAAGCTCTGGAGTCAGACCATCTCACCGAGGCTCATTACTTTGCCATTTACCAGCATTGTGAACTTGGACAATTTTTCTCTTTGTTCCTCAGTTTCCACATCTATAAAATGGTATTGATATTAATAGCCCCTATTTCATGCAGTTATTGTAAGACTTTTGTGAAATAAAGCATGGGAGAAATGCTGGCTTTAATGAACAAACATGGGAGAAATGCCGGCTTAGATGAATATTAAAATGGCTTTCATACCAAAGCGGGGGCTGAGGGGTATGGGAGGGAGGTGTGGGAAGGACAGGGCTCACCTTTTTTTTTTTTTTAGACTGGAATTGAGCATTTGCTGAAGACTATTCACAAAACCAGAAACCATACAAATCCCTCAGGATCACAGACATCCAAACATAACCAATGTTGCTGGGAGCATACTCAGGGTCTCTAGAGGGGATTGAGGGACCTGACCCCCAACCACTCATACTGCAGCTTCTTCCTGCTGCTGCTGCTGTGGTAAGATTCCTCCACAAAAACCTCTGAGGCTCCTAAACATTTTACCATCTATCTTTGGCCACACACTTCCTGAATTTACTCTCTGGAAGAGAAGAGGCCCATTGGGGAAAAGAGAAGCCAGATCCAGGAGGGAGCCGGGAGGAGGAAAGAGAGGAAGAAGAAGTTGGGTTAAGATCCCGAATCTATCCAGGACAGGGCTGCTCCTCTGGGTGGAGGTGAAATGAAGGATACCAGCAGCCCAGGAGAAGAGGGCCCCTCACAGCAGAGCAGGCAGGATATGAGCTCAGGAGAAATAATACTGACTTCTAAGGTTAGTGACCAGAATGGGAGCTTCCTGAAACTGTGTTTAATGAATTTTTGTAATTCTTTTCTTGAAGAAAAATGTGATGGCTGGTGGGCTTCCTGCCATGGAAGGAGAGACTGAGATTACATGCTACATGGCCTGGTGCAAAGAGACCTAGTGCAAAGAGACCTGGTGCAAAGAGTCTTTGCAAAGCAAAAGGTCAAAACCTTGATCTTGCAAGGTCACAACCTTGGTAGGGGCCAAGGTCTGTGAGTGGCTTTTCAGTGACAATGAAAGATAAGAAAAAATAAAAATAAATATACCTATGTTAACAATGCCTAGCTATGGAAAGTGGGAGCTGTATTTTTTTAAACTCCCATAACTTTATAGTTTTCTAATTTTTCTAAAATATTTTACTTTAATAGATGTAGAAATTTGAGTCTACTTCTCTAGTTTATGTCTTCTAGAAACGCATCTTTATTTTATTTTATTTTATTTTCAAGACGGAGTTTTGCTCTGTCACTCAGGCTGGAGTGCAGTGGTGCCATCTCTGCTCACTGCAACCTCGGCCTCCCAGGTTCAAGCAATTCTCCTGCCTCAGCCTCCTGAGTAGCTGGGATTACAGGGACGCGCCACCATGCATGGCTTTTTTGTATTTTTATTAGAGACGGGTTTCGCAATGTTGGCCAGGCTGGTCTTGAACTCCTGACCTCAGGTGATCCACCCGCCTCAGCCTCCCAAAGTGCTGGGATTACAAGCCGTGAGCCACTGCACCTGGCTTAGAAACGAATCTTTAGTTTCTAGAAAATTTGAACAGACATTACGTGTAAACTTTATATTACTGTGTTTTTAGTGAAACAATGTTTTGCAAATATTTACAAAAGAATGGAAATATAACGCAGGAAAGCACCCAGGAAAGTTATGTCCACATAACTCCAGAAGGAGAGGGGGATAAATTTGCAGGGGGTGAGATTTCCCTAGAACTTCTGGAGGAAAGTGGGAACCGTGTTTCAGCGAGCAGGTGGCGGCGGCAGGTAGGGAAGGTGGCCGCGGTCCCCCAGGAGCCGGGGGCGGAGCAGGAAACGGTGGCGCGCGGGGCGGGAGGCGGAGCCGCTCGGAGCGCCGCAGGTACGGACTAGCGGGGCGGCACCTGCCCGGAGACCAGAGCGGACCCTCCCTCTGCGCTGAGCTGAAGTGAGGGGAAACCCGAGGCGTTCCTTGGAGAAGGTGGTGCGTACTGGGGCGGCATCTGATGAAGAAAGACGCGGTGCCCCGAAGCCCCTGAGCTGAAAAGGCCAAAGAAGGGGCAGTATGGCGTGGCCCAAACTGCCCGCACCTTGGCTGCTGCTCTGCATCTGGCTCCCAGCAGGTGAGCCTTGGAAAACTGGCACCCACCCTGAGCCCAAGGAGACAGGAAGCCATTGTGGCCTGGCCTTGCAGAGCTGGCCGCGGGCAGGGCAGTGGAGGCCTGGGCCGTGCTCTGGTGGCGCTTGGCATGGGCGCAAGGAGGTGCGGGGACTGGATCGAGTTTCTGCCTGTGGGAACCTGTTGCTTTCCTCTTTTGTTAGCCCAGGCTCTTCCCAAACAGACGCAACTAAGAAACCTGGAGCCTTTGAGCTTCCCTTCCTGCAGTCATTAGGCACTTCTTGATCTCTGAAGCTGAACTGATAGGGGTAAAAACACCATTCTTAAAAATTCCTAATTACTTTTTCCTTTCATCTGATATGGCGACAACCATAGTGGCACAGAAGTGCAAATATTTCATTTCTAGGAGGTTATAATATGTCCTCAGTATATAAAGCAATGTTCGGCCAGAATCTGAATCTATAGTGCAGGACCACAACGTGTGCCTCTGTGCTAACCATGTTCAATGTCACTTTTCTACTTTCATTGTATCCCGTCACTGGCCTAACTTTACCCCTTGCTCATCCCCCATCAGGTGTCCAACCATCTCCCCTCTCAGGCTTCATTCTCTTACCCTCCACACCAGTCTCCTCTCTACTTTGGAAAAATGAATTTGTGTATCTCGGTGTGTGTCTTGGAAATCTGACTCGTGTATCTGCACGAGTGAAACCAGGTAGGAAAGGATAGCTGAGGGGCAGAAAAAGCAGGCTCTTTCCACTTTTTTCCAATTAGGATGTAGGTGTGACTTTGCAAACAAGAATTTGTAACTTCGCCTGGAAGCTCCACCCTGTTTGATTTCATTTTACCCATCCCCTCCCTTTAGGAATAGCCACTATGTTACCTCTAATTTGTCAGTGGAAAGTCAACTTAGAGTTTGCTCACAGACCAGTTTGACTCTTGTGTTTTTAGGTTGGGAACAGATGCAATATTAAGGTGTGTAGGCAGAATGTTCTTTTTACAAGCTTGATAAGACATAAGAATTGCTCAGCTATAATCAAATCTCATTCAGACAGGATTCTACAATAACTTAAGGGTAATGCTGAGAATAAAAGAGAGAGAGGCTGCAAAAGGGTAGGGAAACTAGAAAACTGATATCCCCAAGCCCCTCTGGCTTACAAGGTTTTCTGCAGGATATAGGTCCTAGAAACTGTCTGAAGTTGATAAGACTAAATGTTGAACACCCATGATGCACAGGGAAATGGATCAAACCTCAAACCTCACCTCAATTTATATCCAAAATTTCACTAATCACCAGCTTCGGCTATGAATGCAAATTTATAAAAATCCCACAGCTTTGCACAGTCGTCTCTCCTGTGCCTCACATGCTCATCTCAAACTTCACAGCAGCTGGGGATTTCTGAAGCCGCTTGAGCTACCTTTTTAGAAAAATAGAGTTCGGCTTCCACCTCTGCCCCTGGGTATTCTATCCTCAGAATTAAAACTTTGTAAGCCTAAGCAAACCTCTAAATGCACTTTCACTTTATTGTTGAGAAATTGATATTTCAACTGTTTGACTCCAACACTTGGAGGGGAAATAGCTATTTTAGCAGATAGTTTCCCTATGAGTAGGAATATAAATAAACTATTTATATTCAGCTATTTAATGTGGTTTGCATCAATGATGTTTATGTGACACTAGACACTGAACTGTTAGTGAACTGTTCAATGCTTCCAGTAAATAACAATGATTATAGCACATATCTCATAAAGCTTTTGTGAGGATTAAGTGAAATAAAGGTTTTAAAGTACTTAATAGACTGCCTGAACAAAGTGAGGGAAAGCTTACTCAATATTAGCCAGGGTGATAATAGTAGTCACGAATTAGAGCCAAGTAGGATTGTTTAAAGCTAACTTTAAGTAAATGAGTTTCTCTCTTCCTCCTTCCTCTATGGCTAAGAAAATGTGAACTATAATAACAGGTGATTATCAGGTTGGAATTCGGAATCTGCCTCTTACTAGTTGTGACTTCAGATGGATTACTTAAACTACCTTCATCTGGAAAACAGGTGAAATTCTTGACAAGCCAACTCCCAGTGCCCCCCACCAATAAGGCCAACTATTGTTGGGTGGATTAAGGTTGAGCACAGTGTCCATGCCTCACAACAAACTGCAATATGCACTTTGGAAAACCCTGTACTAGGGTGTGTTTGTTTTGGTCCATCACTATGATCCCTTCTGTCTCTAAAGAAGTGTCAACCCAATTCTCTGATTAGCCTCCAAGTTTCCACAATTGCCAAGTGTGAGGCAGTAGTAAAATTGTGTCATATTTAGGTACTTGTTGTTCACTGTGGCTTGGGGCCCCTAACGAAGCTTCTGAGGTTAGAGAGTCTTGTAATGTCACAGTCCTGTGCTCTGAGCTGTGTAGAGATCAGTTGTCAGAGGTATGTGTGTGTCATCTTCACTCAGGAAATACTGGGCATAAGTCCTTCTCTACTATCCCCACCTTTTCCTTAATTTTTAAGCCAAACTTCCCAAAGTGTCTGTCAAGATCAAATTAAAGATCAAGCTTCTTCTCTTGCTCTCAATATCTACCAAAGCAGTGCTTTCCAATTTTTTTTCACAGCTCCCAGAAAGATCCACGTACCTTGTGACATGTATGCACCTATATAGAGTTTATAAAATGGAAGCAAGGTGATCACAAAAATTTTATTACTGAGTTGAATAAAATAATAACAATTGATATTACATATTACCCTACTGATACTAAAATTCATTTAAAAATCAACCCCACATTAACAATATTAAATATAAACACCCTGTAAGTTGATTTTCTCAAAACCTGCTGCAAACTGCGATATGCACTTTGGAAAATCCTGTGCTAGGGTGTGTTTGTTCTGGTCCATCACTGTGATCCCTCCTGTCTCCAAGGAAGAGTCAACCCAATTCTCTGATTAGCCTCCAAGTTCCCACAATTACAAAGTGTGAGGCAGTAGTAAAATTGTGTCATATTTAGGTACCTGCTGTTCACTGTGGCTTGCAGTCCCTAATGAAGCCTCTAAGGTCAGGGAGTCTTGTGATATTGTCACAGTCCTTGTGCTCTGAGCTATATAGACATCAGTTGTCAGAGGTGCATGTGTGTGTGATTCTCTGAAGGTCTTTTCTTCAGAAATCAATACACTTTTGGGACTGGTGTGGTGGCTCATGTCTGCAATCCCAGCACTTTGGTAGGCCGAGGTGAGCAGGTCACTTGAGGTCAGGAATTCAAGACCAGCCTGGCCAACATGGTGAAACTCTATCTCTACTAAAAATAAAAAAAAATTAGCTGGGTGTGGTGGTATGCACCTGTATTCCCAACTAATTGGAGGGCTGAGTCAGGAGAATCACTTGAACCAAGAGTTGGAGGTTGCAGTGAGCTGAGATCTCGCCACTTCACTCCAGCTTGGGTGACGGAGTGAGATGCTGTCTAAAAAAAAAAATAAAGAAAGAAAGAAATACACTTTTAATGCACAAGTGATATATGAATATTTATTCCTTAAAACATTAAAATAAGACTAAAATAAGTACCATTATTGGCCAATAGCTCTGGTTGCCTTCATCCAATGTCAAAGTTTATTCTTAGAATGAAAGTTTAGTGTCCTGCTTGACCCCGCCCCCAAATTCTAAAAGGATGTGTGTCATTTGTGCTCTTGTGAATTTTTTTTAACATCATAGTGTGGTGTCAACTTGCAGATCCACACAGCTATCAACTTGTATTATCATTCTTTGACAGATCAAACAGCTGACTCCTAAGTAATAATATCCTTAGAGTGACAGCATCTAGGCCAGTAATTTTTCCAGGGTAGTCAGGGTGGAGGTATGATCATACTGTAGACTTAATGAAATCTTATGAAGTTCCCTAATATATCTCAGGGTGAGGGGGTATGGGTGGTGGATGGGAGACTGTCCACTCAACTGCTCCCTTGCCTCCTTGGGAGCTCCTGAAGTACCTCCCCAGAATCCCTGCGTTCTGCTGAACACAGGTAGAAATCACTTTCAGCCTTTATCTTCCCCTCCCAGCCAGTTTTACAGATAAGGAAATGCGGACCCAGGGAAGTCATGTGTTTCAGGTTGACATAATGGAGTTAGCTGGAGAACTGGGACCAGAACCCTGGTGTCTTCACCCTTTTTCCACTGCTCTCTCTCCTATTTCATACTGTAGAGCAGGTTTATTTTGTTTAATTGAATGTTGGTATACAGAAATAGAAACAGGTGACTGCTTCCTATATGTCTAACTAAATGCTAATGTTTAAATGTCTTGCCCCAACAACAATGCAGTGAAACAAGATGTTGGATGATTACTTGTATACTATAATGAAATAAATTATTATTACTGGATTATGAAGTCCTTGGGGAAAAATAAAATTGTGTGTTTTAAAAATTGAGAAACCTCTGGCCGGACATGGTGGCTCATGCCTATAATCCCAGCACTTTGGGAGGCCAAGGCAGGTGAATCATTTAAGGTCAGGAGTTCAAGACCAGCCCTACCAACATGGTGAAACCCTGTCCCTGCTAAAAATACAAAAACTGGCCAGGCATGGTGGCAGGTGCCTGTAATCCTAGCTACTCAGGGGGCTGAGGCAGGAGAATCACTTGAACCCACGGGGGCAGAGGTTGCAGTTAGCTGAGATTGCGTCACTTCACTTCAGCCTGGGTGAAAGAGTGAAACTCCTTCTCAAAAATAAATAAAATAAAATAAAGACTTGAGAAGACTCTGACCATGTCCCCAGTTCTTTCTAGATCTCCCATTCTGCAACTCTTGGGATAAGGTGGAATCAGAGGAAAGCAATTTTGACACTTTATTTCTCATAACCAGTTAATCACCAAGTTCTGTTACTTAGTCCCAGAATCTGCCCCTTCTTTTCTATTTTAGGTGACAATTCTTTTTTTTTTTTTTTTTTTTTCTTGAGACGGAGTTTTGCTCTTGTTACCCAGGCTGGAGTGTAATGGCGCTATCTCGGCTCACCGCAACCTCCGCCTCCTGAGTTC